ATTTTAGCTCTTGGTAATTTTTGATAATGTTGACAATTAAGGATTCATTAAAAAAAATCGGCCGCCATTTTCCATTTCTCTTTAATACTAATAAGGAAAAATTAACAATCGTGTCTAAAAATGAATAACGCCTGCCTGGATTTTTATTAAAATAATACCTAAAAATGAAAGATAGAATCCCTATTTAAATAACTTTAAATTTAACAAGTACTATGTTTACTGCTATTGGAAGGGTTATAAAGTGTGTAATTATATTAAATATCATTAGCTTAGTATAAAATAAATAAGTTTGCCAAGTTTGATAAAAATATATCCATAAATAAGCAAACTGCAACAATTTTCTTTTCCTTCATAAGAATAACATGGGAATTTTAAATTTAAAACTATTTTTATTATTTATCTCAATAGCCGTTAGAGATAGAGCAAACCTTGTAGTATAAAAATTGTGTATTTTTAAACTTTCTTTAACTTTTGTATTTACAAAAATTCTCTAATACCAATAGTTTGGGAAATATTGTCAAAAAAGTGAAAATTGGCCGCCATTTTCCAAGATGGCGGCTGAAGCACAGCAGGGATTTCCGGGGACTTTTGACATTTTCAAGAACATGGCTTACTTAACAGCTGTGCAAAATTTCTAGGTAGTTCGAATTTGTTAGGTCGATTTTCCTAATATTCTTCCACTATCAGTATATCAAAGTTTTTTTGTATGGTTATTGGTTGCGGAGAAAATTAAAAAATAGTAAATTTAAAATTCCCATGTTATATTCTTATGGAGAATATTGTAAAATGTTGTAGTTTGCTTGTTATCAAAATATATCCAAATCAAACTTGGCAAATTTATTTATTTTATACTAAAGCCATTTATATTAACTAAAAAATACACTTTATTAGTTTTCTTGTAGCAGCAAACCTAGGTACTCGTTAAACAAAATGTTATTTGAATAGATTAAATTTAAAATCAATTCAGGCAAATTAAAATTCGCTTAGAAGGCAGGTATGCTGCGTAGGGGTTATTTATTACATGGTTTGACAAATTGTATTTAAATTTTATTGTTTATAGAATTGTTTGTAGAATAATTAACTCTTTTATCTTAGCATGTTTTGAAGCCCCTTTTACGGGAAGTTACGTTCGTACCTCAATCATGAGTAATCTATACTAATATATAAAAAATGAGATTGTGTGTGTTTGTGTGTGTGTCTGTCTGTTACTTAATAACGCAAGAACCACTGAACCGATTGAAATAAAATTTTGTATGAAGGTAGCTTATACACCTGGTTAACATATAGGCCTATTCCTGTTATTATATTTCCCTTGGGCTAAGACCCATGGGCTTCCAAAGTTTCAATGTTTACATTTTGGAAGAATGTAAATAGTAAAAAGTATTAATTGAAGTCAGCTGTAAATACTATAATTTGACAGTTGAAACAGCAGAGATTAAGAGGTACTGCATATTCTGCTCTAAAGATTCTAAAGTTTTAGTCTTATGAGAATAGTTTGATTAAAATATTTATGAGAATATACTTATTTTTATGGAAACAGAAGGATCATTACAATGTATATATATTTTTTTATTTTGATATGGTAGCTTTATGTTTACAAATTTGAACTGATAAACAAATGTTTGGATCAGGATTTTAATAGATTTTAAGAACTCAGAGATATATACTGGTATAGTTTTAAAAATTTAACTGACTCAATTTTTGCACTTTTATTTGTGTTTTAATTCAATTTACAAACTAAATTTCAACTATACCTACTTTTATTCTGTCCAGAGGTTACTAATTTTATTTTCTTCTATAATCTACTTCACATTCGCTTTTTTAAATTTACAGAAATCTTCTTAGTAGTTGTATATTTACAACTCTGTTTTAATTTAACTAAGGAGAATATCACAAAACTAAGCTGCACGCAATTCACTTTTTATCTAAAATCAATTAAAATCTGTAACGTAACTATGTTTCTTTACTCGATGTTTTAAATAATGATGTAAATTAACGCAAATGCATACACATTTTGAACTATGTAACGAGTTAAAATAATTACTGTTATGTATTACGTTGTTGATTATTTATATTTAAATTTATGAAATATGTGCCCTTGATTAACAATAATAGTGGTTGGCTTTCTAACAAAAGGTAATACAAGTTTTAATTAGTCTTCTTTTGCTTATTATTGTGATATACAGGGTGATTGATATAAGTGTGCCAGCCGTTTTATTCGAAAACCATAAGAGATATCAAAAAAAGTTAAATGGTAAGTGCCTTGGACTTTTTATTTAAATAATTGTAGTAAAGTCGAAAAAAATATTTTAGCCGCCATTTTTCCAATATGGCCGCCAACTTTGATTTTTCTTATGGAACACCCTGTATTTTATTATGTATTCTAGTAGAAATGTGATTTTTTCATAAACCTAACCGTTTCAAAGAATAATGGTTTAAGTTGTAAAATTTTGAATGGTTTTCGAATAAAACAGCTGGCATGCTTGCTAAGGCCTTTATCGAAACTCTTTCTCATGCAGAAATTTCAAAACTTTAACCATTATTATCTTTGAAACGGTAAGGTTTATGAAAAAAATCATATGAATAAAAACGTCTTAAAATTACATTTTCTACCAGAATACATAATAAAATACAACCAAATTGTTTCCATGAGAAAAATCAAAGTTGGCGGCCATATTGGAAAAATGGCGGCTAAAATAATTTTTCGACTTTACTACAATTTTTTAAATAAAAAGTCCAATGCACTTACCATTTAACTTTTTTTGATATCTCTTATGGTTTTCGAATAAAACGGCTGGCACACTTATATCAATCACCCTGTATACACACTGATTTGCAGTTAAAAATTTAACTTTGAAAAAAGCTCATTAGCTAATGTAAAACATATCAATTATATGTGAAATCAATATAAACTGTTTTTTTCTTTACTACAATACTTTATGTTTTGCCATTATTTTTCCTTGTTTACTTTGTACGTTTATCAACGAAATAAATGATTAAGTAAGCTTATCTTTTGAAAATTGAAACGTATGGGTACATTTATTTCCATAAATGCATCAGTGCCTCATATATTTCGTACTAGGTAGCCTTATAATATAGCCTAGCCTTAAGGAAAGATATTTTTCAAACTAAGAGTTTCAATTGAGTCATGTTCCTGAAACCAAAGGGGAATGTGTAACTATTTTATACAACAGAATTCAAGATCAAATGTTTTTGCTTCAGCGTCCTCTCCGTTGCGAAGCACGGGTACAACAGCTAGTCACTGATATAGATTGTTCTAATCCGTGTGAGTAACGATGGCTAACAATTTAAAGGAGGAACATATGGCAAATATACAGGGTGACCGACAGGAAACGGATGTTATATACGCGCGGCTGTATTTGTTGTGAGGGTGGGGGTCACAATTTTTTATAAATGATACTGTTATTTTTAGAAGCCATGGAGCAGTGGTGAGTGGACGACGCAACGCCGCGCCGTAAGTTTGCCATTGATGCGTTTACTATTATAATCACGTTCAAGTCTATCACGGGACCGCAGCGACTTTTTTAGTCCAGTTTCAACTTTAATCCCGTGATATTATTCCTATTTTAAATACAATTCAGGTGGGTTATCAATCCCCGAGCCGAGATGGATTAAGGACGCAATTAAATAATTGATATTGATATTTATATTAATTTACCATGAAGTGGCAACCATGCCTGTTATGAGCTACTGGGACGTGTATAGTAAACCTGCATGCAAGAAAGTGCACTTCACATGGCTGACATTGTTTTCAACGAGTAATTGACATCTGAAAATAGCCAATTATTTTTAGTAAAAAGTGTATTTCTTGAATGGCAAGAGTTTACAAAACTATTGAGGCAGCATTAAAATGTAATAGAAGTTGGAATAGAAGGAGCGAGTAATGTTCAACTGTCTGTGCTGAAGTAATGGTCAACGTCTTAGACTTAAAAAATACATAAGGTACATAATATGCTACTTCCCTACACTGACGGTTCATAGACAACTCTAAATTCCGCCTGTAAAAAACATGTGATTCTTGATTTAATGTTAACTTCTATAGCACTATTCAAAACATAACCAATATCACGCAGGAGTAAATACACTAAATTGTAAACAGTAGCCCTATTATTTTAATGTAGATACAATTATTATTGTTCCTCGTGAATAGCTCTTTCATCTAGCTTATAAAATTCGAATGGTAAAATTTTTCAATAAATGGTGTTTTTACTATTCTTTACGAATTGGGAACATTCACATAGGTTTGATCTTGACAGTTTTGTGTTTCACTGAAATGCTCATGTTTTTGTCCAAGATTTCCCCTCTGGAACCCAAGGGCGGGGATGCATTCAGTATATTTTCTCAGTTGTTGCGTACTTTATTCCTAGGTATTTTTGCTGGATACGTTCTTTTCGGCACCCTCGCAAGACAGTCGGACTACCTGAAATGGGCAGCTATTGGAGTTTTGATCACTGCCACGACCAACTTCGTTCTTTGGATGAGATACGGACTGTTCTTACAATATCAAGAGCTGTTCAGAAGTGTTTATACAACTACGAACTTCATATTTTGTATTATATATTTGTTTGGGTCTTTTTACTTCGCACCTATCATGTGGAGTTACAGTGTTGAATTGGAAGAGGAAAATACAAATGGATGATTTTTTCAAAGGATGTAATGGCAAAGTTTCTTTAAGGGTTTATCTTTGAGAGCATCATTGCATTAATATGAAGTTTGTGTTTATCATCGTAGTTGATTTTTTTGTGTGAAACTTGGACGTAAACACGATCTGTTAACACACGAAAATAAAACTTGTAAAGGTAAGTTATAAAGCTTAATTAATTGTATACAAACAACAACGAACTGTAGGTAATCAATTTCCAAATTACTTACAATGTTTAATCGAGAACGTATCACAATAAGACAACAACAACTACCAAATACCTAAATCTTATCTTTAAAGTTATCTAAATCATATGATTGTACTCGAGTCAAGTGGACCGATTGATAAGCCGTCAGTGCGAGAGGTTGAGTGTAGGTGTGTGTTTGATTTTATTTAATAGTTTTATATTTTTATCCGTAAAACATTTGTAATGGCCGAGACGAAGATGAGATGGACTCTGTTGTACATTTTCGCCGGGCTGATAAGCTCCTTAGCTTTGTTTGCCGCATTGTATTATGTTTTCTCCGGCCAAGGCGAGAGGCTAGACTTCGGATGGTTCCTCCTGACTCAACCCCCTCACATGTGGGCCAACCTGGGGATTGGTCTCTCAGTGTCTTTGTCTGTGGTCGGCGCAGCTCTGGGAATTCACACTGTCGGCGTGAGTATATCAGGAGCTGGAGTGAAAACGCCGAGAATCAGGACGAAAAACCTCATATCCGTAATTTTCTGTGAGGCTGTTGCTATTTACGGACTCATAACTGCCATAGTGTTTTGTGGTATTCTACAGCCCTACCCGTTTTCCTCGGATATCTCGACGATGCCGCAGAACGACACGTTCCACGTCAACTGGATGGCAGGGTATGTTCTGTTCTGGGCAGGACTAGCTGTTGGGTTCGTGAATCTGTTTTGCGGAGTGTCCGTCGGTGTCGTGGGCTCTGGAGCAGCAATCGCTGACGCCGCCAACCCCGCTCTCTTCGTCAAGATCTTGATCATAGAGATTTTCGGTAGTGCCATCGGCCTTTTTGGTCTCATAGTTGGAATTTACATGGCATCGCATGTGAAAATGGGGAGCAAGCCGTAAAATGTAAGGATTGATTTAATAAAATTTTGTATTGTAAAGTTAAGAAAGATTTTCATGTTTAAAATACAGGATATGAAATTAAATATACTAAGGGTTTTCTTACACAACAAATATTTCTGAAGTAAAAAGGTTTTAAGAGGGAGTGAGTGACGTTACACCAAAAAAGTGAATCAAATGGGGCATTATAGATGAGTTGGCTGCAAAATGTGTTGGCCTTTAGTTTATTTTGATTAGATGAACAATAAAAAAATAATATCTATAAGTTCAGTAGCTTAGAAAGCGACCTGCGCGCTAATGCTAACCATGGAGGTCGTTTTCTAAGCGGCCGAACTTAGTCATGCTTATGGACACTGGCCTTGAATAATGAAAGTAGATTTCTCATCCTACTGTTAAATCTGAGGTATTTTTGAATTTCTCTTGTTATTTTTTGCGCACGATATGTCAACTTCTTTCGCTCTCATTTTGGAGTCGATTTTAAATTTAATTTGCACTTTATACTCTTTTATTTATACTAGAAGACTAAAATTGTTTACAAACAAATGGTATATGCTTGTTTAAAAATTCAAATAGTTTCAATGTTGGTTAAATAACGAAGAAACAGCTAGTAAGTAAACATAAAAAGTATTGAGTACCGCTCTCGAAATACTACAGTATGTCCATATAAATCTATAGAGTTTATCTTATAGAGTTGATTTAATCTGTGTTATGAATTAGCTTATGGTCATTTTAGGTATATTATAGCATAGATTAAACATTATCGTTCAGTCCTTGTTTAAAGCGCCTTTTGGTGTTTACTACAACTTTTTCTTGCCTTTTTTACCAAAAGTGATACTATTTTAACCGCAATACAACGATATATTTAAAGCGATAGCACATTAAAATACCCCCGCTGCAGGCTGCAGCAAACCTGCCGGCTAAGCGAATTTCCATTTGCCTGGATTGATTTTCAATAATCAATCTATTAAATTAACATTTATGTTTCGAGTACCTAGGTTAGCTGCTACAGGGAAACTAATAAAGTGTGTTTTTTATTAAAATATCAATAGCTTAGTATGAAATAAATAAATCCGCCAAGTTTGATCAAAATATATCCATAAACAAGCCAACTACAACATTTTACAATATTCTCCATAAGAATAACATGGGAATTTTAAATTTAAAATTTTTTGAATTTTCTCCGTAACTATTCACCGTACAAAAACACTTTGATATACTAAATTATTTGTTTTTCAAGCTTTTTCAAAAGGTCTGGAGAAAAATTGATAAATTTTGTGTTTTAAGGGTAAAAAATGAGAAAACCCCATTTTCACCCCATAAAACCCCCCGTTAAACCCCGTTCCCATGGTCCGATCATGCTGGTTCGCGAACTCATTCAAGTTTATCCTGCCTTACACGTTCAAACCAAATTTTATCAAAATCGGACAAAATTACTCAAGTTATCGTCCGGACAGACACACCCCCCCCCCCACACACACATACACCCATGTATATATATTTACATATATAAACATTTGAACGAATGGTTTTTTTGGCCTCTGGGGACATCAAAATGAAAAAGTAAATCGGTCCCGGGTGTAGGTCTTACCAGGTAGGTCTTACCTACGGTAATAGCTACTTCCCTACAGGGAAATTCGCTAAAAAATCAAAGTATTGCTTTCTCTGTCTTGTTACTCGAGAGAATATGCACACATTATAAAATATGACTCAAAATGAGGTAATTTTGTGTAATCAACACGAATGCACTAAATCGTTATGAACCATCGACATTCATTTATAAAATTGACGCCAAAAACCACCATATGGATTCTCAAGGTTCATTTAGTTGACATCAACACTCAATCGATGATACAGTAGAGTCCCGCAAACTCGGCACTCGATAACCCGGCAGTCTGGATAACTCGGCCATCACCTGGCTCAGAAAATTAGTGATTATTTGAGTCGAGCTGAACATGGACTCAAGCCAGCTGAAGTAAAATCATTCACAACTCGTACCAAGTACTTTTTGTACTATATCTGATGACTTAATACTGACTTGTAATATAAAAAAAGGAGGTTAAAAAGCTAAAAAATTGTATTGTCCTTATTTTTAACCCTAGTTCCCGATAACCTGACATTTCACAAACTCGGCACCCTTCCAGTTCACATTACGCCGTGTTTGCGGGACTCTACTGTACTGAACTTTAAATTAAACACCCACCAAAAAGAGCTCCAGAACTAACACGTAACACCTTGCCCGAGGAGTATGTTTTTAGACTTCCCATCTATATGGACCAGCTGTAGCCAATTTGGTTCTAAAAAAGAATGCAGTTGTGTGAGACAGTCACAGAATGCACTACAGTCTAAAAAATTCTATTTTATACCTTTTTTTTGCTGACCTGGTTGATGGGTCATAACAGTTGCTATTACTCATCATAAGTCATTCCCTAAGTTTGACTTGGTTAAAAGGATTGTGTATTCGGTAGAATTTCGTAATTTAGATCAGCGCAAGCTGTATGTGGCTCACATCAACTACGACGATTTTAATCAAAAAAGCTGGCTACAAATTTAACATGGGGATTTAAAGGTTTTATCTATGTATCAGAAGTGAGAGTACTACTAGTACTGTTCAACGCCAGAGGCTATAGTATAGTAAATATTTTTCTGATAGTTATACCGGAAATTAATCAAAATTGTGGAAATGTGTCATTGTATTTTGTTAAAATTACTTTGGTATTGGTAAAACTTAAAGTACTGTACAGTAGTAATAATCAAAACACATTCTTCAATACAATTAAAACGAAATGTACAGAATATTTAATCATTGCCATTAAATAGTGCAGGTCAATTTAATCTATGATCGAACTGTTTTAAGTTAATTTCATTGTGATGACGAAATAATTATCTGAGAGTATGTTTTTTTATCATTAAATTTTGAATGCTGAAGTCTATCTATAATAAAAGTTCGATCTAAACTCTGGACATTACAAAGTTTTATTTTTATATTTATTTATTTTTGTTACTTTATTTAATTTACAATCTACCGTCTATATTTTACATTACACACTGTTAGTAGTTTATTTACTCAGTATTAAACTCAGACAGCTTGAAGCAGAGTTAACAGACCAAAGACAAAAGACGATGTTCTATGTTTGATTTCACTATCACAAAAAATAATACTATTTATGTTCTTCTTGTAGTATATATTATGCTATAAATCAACTTCCTCAAAGGGGTTGGCAGCATTGCAGATTTCACTCAGCCCTCAGTCACATGACAAATCGATCACCTGCTCTGGTTCAGGGTTGTCTGTCTGTAGCAAGATTCTTGATTCTTGTCAACCGACCAAGCCCTAGATTTCTTTTCAACTTACTCAGCAAACTGTAGAAGTTGGTGCAAAGTGTTTGTGTAAGTAGTGTAAAAGTTGGACACTTTTAAACCATGGCATACTCAATGAAGCAGACTCTTGGTTACATATTCTCTACCGGAATGTCCCTTCTCATCATTGGAGTCATATTGTCTTATGTACTTACTGGTAAAGGGGAAAGATTAAGTATAGGGTGGTTCCTCGAATCCACTTCACCCTATATGTGGGCTACTCTTGGAATTGGTTTAGCAGTCTCTCTATCTGTGGTCGGAGCTGCTCTTGGTATCCATACAACTGGAGTGAGTATTGTAGGGGCTGGTGTAAAGGCTCCAAGAATCAAAACCAAGAACCTCATTTCTGTCATCTTCTGTGAAGCTGTAGCTATCTATGGACTTATCACTGCAATTGTACTCTCAGGCATCTTAGAACAGTTCACCTATGAGAAAGCGATGACCGACAAAAATATCAAGGAGATGAATTGGATGGCTGGTCATGTACTCTTCGGAGCCGGAGCAAGTGTCGGGTTGGTCAACCTATTCTGCGGGATGGCAGTTGGAGTTGTTGGTTCAGGCGCTGCCCTTGCTGATGCTGCCAATGCTGTTCTCTTTGTAAAAATCCTCATCATTGAGATTTTTGGAAGTGCAATTGGTTTGTTTGGACTAATTGTGGGCATCTACATGGTTTCCAAGGTTAGAATGGGTGACAAACCATAAATCAGAAAACACTGGAGAGTTGAACAAGGTAACTTCAATGTATTAAAAATGCAGATTAACTTAGCTAACTGTCCGTTAATTGCAAAGTGGGATATGTATAAACCAACAGTTTTATTGGATAAAATAGCGCCTAACTATCATTTGGCCTGTATGTTGTTGATGTAAGAGACAAAAAGTAGCCTAAGTTAATTTGCAGAAAGTATTAACTTACAACCACCCTTGTAAGAATGATTAAACCTAGTGAAAACCTCAATGTAACTTACATTCCAGTTGGTCTATCCAAAGAATTCTTGGGTAGGCTGCTTTAAATTTAAATTGTGGCTGTGCACGGTTACCGTAGTAAACCTCTTTAAAAAGGCTTAACTTATGGATTGACTGAACAACTTTAAATTTGCAATTGTAACATCATTGGGCAAATCTGGTACGGTAGGCCTAGCCTACCTACATAAGTTAGTAGGCCCTAAGCACAAATTATGGGAATTTTAAATGCAACCCTTTAATTTAATATTTTTTACGTTAAGTTATGCTACCTAAAATCCTACTAAATAAACTAATAATGTTGATTTATTTTATGTCAGGTTTGATGTTAAGCCTATAATTAGTAGGGCTAGCCTAATATAGTGCACCTATTTTACTTTTCAATGAATTGCTATATTTATTTAGGCCCATCACATGCACTGTCAAAGCATGGAAGACTACATTAGGCCATATGAAACAAGCAGAATCATCAAGCTCATAGTCCCTTAATTCTCCTGTTAAAAATTAAAGACAAATATGATCATAACTTCTTACTGTTCATGTTGTTAATACTGTGTTATTGTTTGATACTACTTTTTAATAGTTGTGTATAGATATTTTTAATAGCCTTCTAAGTAGCCTTAAAAATTTCTGTTTGGTTTATAAGATAAGATTGTTATTTTAAATTTGTACTTATAAAATATATTCATGAATCGAATTTCATTCAAAAAGAATTCTTTTGTTAAATCAATGTTTTAACTTAGTTTAGTACAAGTCTTTCCAAACATTTTAAGTAGACTACAATATTTGATTTGATTAAAATAATTATTTTCAGTAGTCAATTGTAAAATGTAGATTAATGTAACCTGAGGGTGAAGTGGTGTTATATGTAAATACAACTTAAGAACAAAATAAACCTTTATTTCGTAATCCTCATAATTTTGAAGTTGGAGCCTAAAACTTACGGAAATACAGGGCCAGGTTACTTATAGTAGTACCGGTAGGCTATTTTAGGGCCATAGCCCTTGTGCTCTTTTCGACACAAGTCCAAGTTTAACAACTGACGCAAAGCCGGATGGAAGATGTGTAAGTGGCAAAAATACACTTTTGTTTAGGCTATTAGGATGAACTAATGTGCACCCTAGATTTAATTTCATAGTGCACCATTCTTTTTGCAAAATAATTAACAATTTAAATTCCATAGGTACCAGTATGTTTATTTTGACATTTATGAATCATATGTTAGCTCCCAGAGCTTTGTCATTGTTTAGAATTTTTTTTTTTTTTCAAAATCAGTGGACAAATTTAAAGCTTTATAAATATAACTTAGGTTACAGATGATATTTTCGACTCCAGCTTAATATTTTTTCGCCCTAGGGAGTCAAAAGTCAACTGTACCTAGTTAAGGATATCGACTGTGTGGGCTACATTTTTTAGCTTTTAAATTCATCTGCTGATTTTAAAACAGAAGCGAAGGAAATGGTCCTAGATTAAGAACGGTCCCCCGATAAATACAGATTTATACAACAATGCGGCCCTTACTTATAAAACCGCCTTTGTATGTTTATCGGAATGAGCAATCAAAGGTTTCAAACATTCCCCTTTCTAAATTCTGACACTTGTACCTCTTCAACAGCAGTTATTGTTGCCTGTTCCATCTCCTGTTCAAGTTTTAAATCAAAATGGAGGTAGGCCTCTAGTTCAATTGAGTTAGGTAGGCCTACTTGTCCAGATTGAACTGATGGAAATAGGTTACGTAAACTTTTTAAGGTAATTAAACTGATAGGACAACTTATTGTAAGTAGGGGTCTCAATCCCGGGCCTTCAATCCAATCCCGGGATTTCGGGATTCATCTCAGCCGATCCCGGGATTATATAATATTATGATTTTTTACTTTTTAGCCATTTTAAATGAGCAAGAAGTCTCCTCGTTGAGTAGGCCTACCTTAATGTTTTAAACTGGCCTTACCAGTGTTACACTGCGCAATGTTTCCGTTTTCTAAGTAAATAAATATTACCACGCCGAACTTTCGTCGCCCGTATTTCTTATTTACAGTGTATAAATGTTGATATGTCACTCTAGAATATAACAAATACATTTAAAAAAATCACGAGCAACCGCACTCGCACGTAGCCTAGATACATCACGCTAATAGATAGCTTAAAGATAGCTAAGAGAAAAAGATAAAATGGGAAGAATCACGAGTAGCAGCGTTAAAAGGTTATTTTGTTTGACAGCAATTAAACAATATAAGATACTGTAAAACGATCAACCATCTGATTATGTAGTAGCGTGTGTATGAAAAACGTAATTTTAGATTGTAAGAAATTTAATCACCACACTAATAACCAAATACGAAGATAAAGCTATAGACCCTAAATATAAGCAATCTTAATACTGTAATGAGATTATAATCGTGTGTTAATTGTTATATTTTATGGCATCAATGAAAATAATACTTAAATTTCCGATTGCAATGTTATGTTTGCTACACGAATTGCGTTGTTTACGTTTAATGTCAACAGTAAAACTCAAAATAACCTGTAGGCCTACTGTAATTAAGTTCTAACTAATGTAATAACATTTACAGAAAGTAAATCCAATTCGTCTAAAAACTGAAACATATATTTAGGCCTACATTCGTTCGCCTATTGAGTTTAATGATAATTAAATTTTCCAATCAAAAAGATCATTAGGCCTACGTATACCATTTAGTATAATCGTCCTAAAAATAAAGAGTATATGTGTTTCAAGTGTTATTGGACAATTTTTATTAGGTTTCCTCAAATCCTCAAATTCACAAAAAAATCAGTATAAACATAGGTTTTTCAATCCCGTTAATCCCGGGATTAAAAGTCACCAATCCCGGGATTTCTAGGTATCAAAAATCGGCCGGGATCCCGGGATTGACCCCTAATTGTAAGCTACATCATCTTTTATGTCAGAAACATCCTCAGTAACAAAAAAATAAGGTACTGTAGTAAATTGGAATTTTAGACACAAGCACACTCTGTGACTGGCTTATACTGTACGCTTTTTAAAAATAAAATACCCTGCCTGCAAACCTGCAGACTAGGCAAATTTAATTGGTCTGGTTGGATTTGTTCCAAAATAGGCCTGCATTCCCATAAACAAGTCATTTTTTTATTTCCTATTTAAATAACATTAAGATTTCATAAGTAGCCTACTTAGGTTTGCTGCTATGGAAAGGGAAAAAGTTTTTTTATCCGATGAAATTTTTATAGTAGCCTACAGGCCTAAGTTAGAATGAAAAAAAAAAATTGCCAAATTTAATCAAAATATATCGATTATCAAGTAAATTACAACAATTCTCTTTTTCTCCAATAGAATAATATCGGATATTTAAATGTATAGTTATTTTGAATTGTCTCTTTAACCTTAAATCGTAAATAATGCTTCAGTAAACAAAATTGTTCTTTTTCATGCTCTATACGTTGTATGCTACAAACTATCAGACAACTGTAGCTAAAATATTATTCTTTAAGCATAAAAAAAAATTGCCAGTAATATAAGGCCTACATGTTTGAACATTACATTTTCAATTTTATTTGTAGCATATTTGTCATAGCCTGCAAAAATCATGTAGCATTTTTAAGTTGTGTAGCAAAATGCTAAAAATGTTACCGCAGCTTTTTAAAGCCTGGTTGGCTGTAATGAAAATGGGACATTCCATGTTGTTAGGCTAAGAATTAAAAAAACAATCGAAAAGAAAATTAAAATCCCATAACACCCTGTTTTACAATTATAATAATCTTGCTGGTTTGCAAACTCTAAAACTTACCTAGCTCTACACTATTGATAAGTTCAGTTTCTCTCCTGATAATATCCTTCAACTCTTCCAGAGTACGTGGTTTTTCTTTGTAAACATGTGTCTTCAGGTGACTACACGAAAAAATACATTGAAAAGTCGCTAATCCATGAGATCACACGCCCAGGAAATAACACTCACATTGCTGCCATTAAGTTGACCGTGGAAGCAATAGCCTCAACTTATTGAAATCATTTGTTCTTGATGTTTATTTTCTACCTTTTAAGTTCTGGAGTGAAAAAGTCTCTTATCATGTTCACGCATTGTGCAGGATAAGTAACAGAGTTTTTTTTCTTGGAAGAAAGATGGACCATAAATCCCACATTTTCTTACAGCACACTAAACTGTGTTCCAGGTGTTTTTGTTTTCATAACTGATCCTTTAGTTCTAAATAAAAAATTGTATTCTGACTCAAAGTTTACCATGAGGATCAATACGAAAGTGGCGTCTAAAATATTGTTCAGTTTCCACTCTTGACCCACTTTGTTGACTCACCATTTTATACAAAAGCATCATATGAGATCATTCAATGATCTTTTGTCCACAGCGGCATGATGGCGACGAAATGACATTGGATGGGGAGCTAAATGACTGTAAATTTGAGTTTCTTCCTCCACCAGTCACCGAGAAATGCACGATTCAAAAGTGTTCGTTTCCCATGAACCACCCTGTATAACCCATTGAAAAGTTAAGAGGGTGTACTCTCAAATTTGCCTAACCCTGGATAAAACAGCTTCAGGTTACAAGACAAGCAATGAACACTGCTTTACGCACTCTACATTAATTTATTAACCACATAACACATTTGACATAAAACATACATCGATATTTATTAGTTTGTAAAATTAATAAGCTATTAAGTTTTCAACTTATGATGTGTAGTAAAGCAATTTGTGAAGCAAGACTCAGAAGCAATTTCAAAGCGAATACCTTCAATTGTTGTTCATCGAGTGATGAAACATTGTAAAGGAGGTAGTAGTAAGAAAATATTAGAATTGGAAAATAATATAGGTTTCAACTATATTACTTCTTATGTATCACAATAAAAAAATTGGTAACATTGTGTAAAGGTATTGCAAGCTAAAATTTTTACTGAACCAAGTCATTTTATTTAACACAAATTACCTTAAGTTTTTCAAACAAAGTTTTCATTGCAAAATATATGTTTTTGTTATTAGTTTGCATTTTAATTGACATTTCGATAGTCAAATATCATAACATGGTTAAAATATACAGTAGGCTACTGAATGTTAAATGGAAAAGAGTGGTAATACATAATACACATTAACATTACTTAATAGTAGGGGGGTCTTTTGTACTTACCCTACAAATTCAATACAGTAATACTTCATGTAGGAAATGCAATTTAAAAATATAAATTTCAAGCATTTAAGGCACATAAATTTGGTAGTTAAGTTATGAGATGATGGAGTTAATGTTTTTGTAGAAAATTAAGTCTAAAATTAAGGGAAACCTATTGCACAAGTTTATCTCTTCCAAGTTTTTTGTTAGGTGAGTACAAGAATTTTCCTCTTATAATTTTTGTCATAATATAAATAACAAACAGTGTGTAATACATCAGTTAAAAAATTGCTGTGTTTAATATGGGTGTTTGAGCTCTTAAGTAGTTATTTTCATACTCCAGACTGAAAAAAGGAATAAGCTGGGGTTATCAACAATCGGCTCCATGTTTTTCCTTTGTAAACTGTTTTTTATCCGATAAGAAATATAGATCATAGGTAGGCATTGTATTAAAATTTATTTGTTTTCGTAATTGTAACAACAAATCATTTTATATTTTAACAATAAATACCCACGTATAGCTTTTAGACCAATTCAAATGTAAAATATTTCATCACCACAGTAAAAAGATTGAAATAATTTGTAGTACAACATGTTGAGATACCATATCTAAAAGTACATTTAAGTCCACACATCTCGTTATAATGTCTAATACATTCTAACAAATTAAATTTAACTAATACAATTGTTATTTCAAATATCACAACACTTACTTCAATTTCAGATATGCCCACTAAAACTGTTATTACTAAAGTTACTTTATATAGTTTTTATTTGTACAGTGAACCATACTCACAA